AATTAGTTTATAGCAAGCTGTTACTGGCTAATGATTTTTCCTCTTTAGTTTTCCCAAAATCAGATTTATGAATTTTCTTTCACTGTATGTGAACAGCTCCAGAAATATTTGAAACTACCCTCGTTCTATGCCAGGGTTTAACTGACAGACAGGTTACAAAAGCAATACTTCCAAACTTGGGAATTGCATAACTGAATAAGGCATGGAATACTTTAATGCATTCAAAGATATATGAAGACTGATACAGTATAATTCACAATACAGTATGATTCACAGTCCAGGCAGTTTGTCTCATGTATATGAATGCATTTAAATACTTGCAGGGCCATGAGCACTGATTGGACTGAAGCAATGAAGCTACTTTTTACCTCCTTCACTATCAGTCAAAAGAGTTAAACCTCGGTGAAGTGCTACTTCTAAGTTACATAATGTAAATCCTTTGGACTTTTTGAGAGTGGCTTCTCACTTGAGGAATGTGCTTTGGAGATGCTTACCTGGGCTGTCATGCTCTATAACATATACTTGAAGTCAAGGGCATTCAGGGAGATTATTACTAGCTTTAAGATTGTTTCTTTAACCTAGCTGTTAATCACGCTCATCCTTAATTAGTAGATACCTGAATAATACTGCATTATTCAGGTGTGAATAAAAACATATGACTATATCTAACATCTTTAACTATGGCCCCTATCTCATACCTTTAGATATATAAAAAGCAGCAATTACACATTTCTTGCCGAAATGATTGCTCAAGTCAGGAAGATATCAAATGGCATATCAAATTGATCCAGAGGAATAACCACAAAAGTTCATTTGCAGATGTTGTACTTTTTAGTATTAAGAAGTCATTAAGATTCATATTTAAATATACAGTTAAATTTACTTTTTAAAGGTATTGATATTCTACTTTTCATGAAAACAAAAGAAACAGGCAAAATCCTTAACAAACTGCTGAAGAAAAATTTAACTACAACATTTAAACGCACATCCAAATATACCCAACAAAAGACAATAGAACTACTTCTATCTGAAGTTCAGTGATGCCTTTATATGCAAAACCCTTGCATGTCAATTTAACAGGACACCCCACTGTATCAAAGTGTATGGCTTTCTTAAGTCCAGACATTTGAAAACATGACTATGAGATAGATTAATGCTACTGTAATACTACTGTATTGCTTAACAAAGGTCAGGTGTGTAACACTAAAAATTCACTGATACATTTTAAACCAATACTGACTGTTTTCTAGGAAGCTTTACTTAGTGATTAGGTAAATGACTTAAATTTAAGAACATTTAAGTGAAAGAGCAAAATGATTAGAACATCTAACAATGAAGGAAAGGCTATGGGTGCTGGGATTGCTTAACCTTGAGAAGGGCTGGGAAGGAGGCTCATCAATGTTTTTAAGTATCTGATGAGAAGGAAAAGAGAAGACAAACTTAAACTCTTCTCAGTGGTGCCAGTGACAGGCTGAGAGGCAATAGGCACAAACTGATACATAATAATTTCCACTTAAATTTAAGAATAAGCTTTATCAATCGGAGTGACTGGTTACTAGAACAGGTTGCCCAGAGAGGCAGTGGAGTCCCTGTGCTCGGGATAATGCCCACGTAATGCCTGTACACTAGATTCTTGAATTTTCTATTTACTTTTTTTCTCATTCACAAAGCACGCAGACACCCTTCAATAACAACTGCATACTTTTGCAATTTTTTATATGAATTACGAAGAGTTCCTAACTCAGAATTGCTTACTGAATTAAAAATTATACGCAGCTGCAATTTCTACATGATGACATTCTATTTAAAAACAGCAGCAGCATTACTAACCGAAACAACCTAGTTTAAATCTCTCCAAGAAAGATTAGTATCATCTTTGTTCTGGTTAGTGGATTTTTGGATTTATAAAGCCCTTACACAGTTAGCCTTTCATGAAGTATTGTTGGGATTAAAAATATCTTCATGAACATATTCTCATATAATGAAATCATAACAATTCAACTTCATTTCACCCAGAGCAAGAGAAGCGTGCCAATAAAAAGCACTGTTTTGAGGGCTTAATTTCTTGGCAGGTTGAAAATGGGTTAGTCTAGCAAAAAGATTCTGAGCCCAGAGAGGATTTTTTTTTCTTTTTTATGTCAAGCATACTTTAAATCTCCTAAGCTGTTTATAACGATACAGTTGCCAAAAATAGTCTAGCTAAAAATCACTGAATTGTCTGCACCTGTTACAGAACAGAAGAGAGCCTCAAAGCATCTCAGAATACTAGAAAATAGTCTTAACAATAAAGTAAAAGATGTGTTTGTTGTTTTAATCTGGAGAAAAAACAACAAAACCAAAACAACACCACCACAAGTGTATCCAATTTAGGTACAACTATATCTTAATATTCATGAATAGTAGCACTGCCCATGAGCACAAACTGACTTTTTCCATAGCATCAAAACAAACAAAAAACCCACAGTAAAATCAAGTATGCTATTAAGTCAACAGCATTTTAGTATGCACAGTATTCTCCTGCTTTCTCATCAATACTTCCTTTCCACCTGATACAATTTTGATCCAGACCAGGACCAGTCCTCCGTGAGGTTCTGCTCTCCCTCAAGATTTGTAGCACAGATTAATATCAAGTCACAAGAATCCTCTCATTTTCACTAACCCTGCCTGAGCTATCCAGTAAATTACAGACTTCCACTTACAGTGCAAAGAAATAAAAAAGAAAACTACGCCCCTCCCTTAGCTGGGGCACTGCTGCCTTACAGCTTCAGTAATGCTAAGGAGAAATACAGATTAAAAACAAACACAGGAACAATATCTAGCCATATTTTTCAAAGCCTATCCAGACTGCGCAGAGACATTGTGCTGGTGGTGTGCATATAACAGCAATATCAGCACCTTATTTTGGTTCTGTTTGGCAAAATCACAATATTACCCTTTTTACATAATTACTTTTTTTTTTTTAAATATCTGCTGACTACTTCTATGAGTCACTTGCCAAACTGTGCACAGACTAACACAAATTACATGAGACTGTGAGAAAATTAAACAGACATTTGTTGGAAGAAGAACAATGAAACTCAAATTGCAATTTCATGCTTGGTTAAAGGCAGGCTAAAACTACTGCTGCTGAAAGAAGAGTCTACTTTTCCTCTGTGCTTACAATGGCCTGGCAATCTTGAAGCTGCATGGTGAGTTGCATCAGTTTAATAAGCCAAGTGAAAATGAGTTTTCTTGCCCAACACATTCCCCTGCCCCAGCTATGCACTTGTTGAGCAATTGCTATAGCTGATAACTGTGCAGAAAAGTGCAGAGGATTGGTGGTGTTTTATTTTGGCAATTGGGCAGTCTTGTACTAACACCTATCAGTCATGAAATATCAGATATCACTGATATGTACACATAAAGTATTATTTTTCAGCATCATATCCATTGCTCACATATGGTCCTGATTTCACAGTGACAGCAAAAGTCAATCTCTAATTCCCCTCTTGAAAGCGGTATGTTATTTTAAAGAAAACAATTTTATGGCGATAATTTTTTCAGTTTCCTTCTAAGGATGGATTACTTTCCTTAAAATTTTCCTTAGCATGCCAGTCTATTTAAAATAAACAGACTTCAGTCTGAGGAATTACATTTTTGCTGTTATACACAAATGAAAAACACAATCTTTATACAGATTGTGGTAAGAGTTTCTATAATATTACTTTAATAGAGGAATTTCCATACAATACCAATGGAACATATTGGACATTCTGTGGATTTATATCCCTCATAAAGAGATTTAAACAGCAGTCCCCAAAGGGTGCCCACTATTTGATCAATTTCTGATTATTTACATACAATGCACATCTACTCTCCCCATTCCATTAAAACAAAATTTCAAAGGATTATGCAGCTAAGTGTTTAAGAATTGGTTATTACATGACATTGATTATGCTAAGCAATCATGTATTTAATTTTCCAGTTTGAATTTCTATTTGACAGTTTCATGCAGCAATTTGCCAGAACTAAAAAATAAGGTTTGATTATGCACTAGAAAAATCAATTTAATCTCTAACATTTAAAAGCAAATGAATTAAATAAACCTACAGTCTTCTCTCTCAATTCCATGCTACTAAATAGAAGAAAAAAACATATCAAAAAACGCACAATACAACTACAAATGAAAAATCTTTCCAAAAGGACCACATATGAATTAATATATATTGTAATGTAATATATCTAGCAGAAGACACCGCACTACAGAATTTACTGTATGAGAAACAAAGTTTAGCATAACATTTACATATACTTTTGCATACAAGTGATAAATACATTCATTACGATAACCAAGGCTAAATTGCATTGCATGTTACATCAAGAAAAGAATAGAGTTTATCTATCATAAGAAAATGTTTCCTCCATTTGTGTTTGTGAAACACCGACTTATAAAATTCCACTGTTTTAGGTATAAAATTCTACTGTTGTAAAAACCCTCTTGAATGAATCAATATTCAGACTCAAGATAAAGAAAACACTGCAGCTTCAGCTGCAAAGCCTGAATACTACAGTAACATCATTAAAAATATGATATGCAGCTTCGAGGGTGAACATGAAATTATTCAGAACAAGCATTAGTTTTGATTAAATTTACAGCAAAGTAGACTTTAATAGTTTACTCAATAGCAATTATTTTCAAAAAAAAACAACAATTCAAACTGTAGATATCGATTAAAATTCAAAGTAGTAAAGTCACTTAATGAACATAGTAATGTAGAATCAATTTTTGAAAAAATATGATATTGAAATTGGTTAAAATATAGAAGGCAACTATAAATAATGCATTACTTTATATAATTTTTCACAAGTATTGTTAGGAAGGTATTTAGTAGACTGGAGATACTGTAGACAAAAAAAAACAAAGAACAAAACAAAACAAAACCAAAAAAAACCACACACCAACAAAACCCCACATGAGCAGCATTAATATAGCAGATAGGTATAAAAGATTTATGGCTTACCAGCAGTAAAGTCATTATTCAGATCTATAAATGCATGAGAGTGCGGTATATACATTTTGCTAGGAATGTCCAAAGCAGGATGCCATGAAAAGTTCCTACAAGACACAAAGAAAAAGTAACACATCTCATCAATGCTTAAAGAGTGTTAATGACGAAAATACACGTTTATTAAAAACACAGGAAAAAATGAAAGAGCCTTCAGCTGGTTTCTGTCAACTGCCTGAAGCAACATTTTGTTCACAGAACAGTAATACCACCAAGGAAGCAGAATTTAGTGCCAGGACTTCAGCTGTTAGTGTTCAAATATTGACCTCAACTCTCTGCCCAAGCAGGTTTATTGCTGCTACTTTTTAAAAATCTACTTGAAGATTAAAGATGGAAAAAAAAAAAAAAGGGATATAATCACATTCCGTATAAAGCAGCTGATGGACTTTAAACCAACAGAAAACTCCTGTTGCATCAGACTACAGACTGTGTGATTCACAGACAGGTGACACATGTTTTACTCAGGCTCCCGCATCCAGCTAGAGGTTCTGCCTAGAAATACATAAAAATTAGCAAGCCTTCACCATATTTTCCTGAAAATTTAAAAACTATTTTAAATTACCTATATTACTAAACGAATTATTACAGTTGCAAAGTAGTGTTACAAATGTAGTATTTACTGTAACAGTTCAGAGATGATCATGATGTTCTACAAATCTCAACAGCAAGAACAGAGAATATGGAAACCTTTTGCTATATGTCTTTCAGTAACTTCACTCAAATCACAACCTATTATGATAGATTAATTTCTTATTAAAAAAACAGTTATATATTTACTAGCTATTTGGAAAGCCTTAGTAAGTAATTATCAACTTTTCATAATTTAAAAACACTGTGAAATGCCATTATGGATCCAACCAAAAGCTGTATATGGTATTTTTATTTCAAATTCTAATACATGCATGGGAAACACAAAAGTATTGCTTCCATAAACCAAAACTGTCTTATTATCAGAGCAATAGTTCAAAAATATCATGCAATGCCAATTACTGGTCGTAACTACAAAAGCAGTAACACATCAAGTATGCCTGACGTTTAGTTTCTGGTAATCAGGGGTTTAGTCATAAGTAAACACAAATGTACACTTCCCATGTTTGTCAGCTCAATGAGTAGTTCAAAGGCATCTAGGATTTTAATGCCTTCATTACACAATTACGTTAGAGATTCCTTCCTAATACAGTAGTTTCTGGGCATTATTTGATTTAAACACAACTATGTTTCATCAATTTCTTTGGAAAACAGCTGTATTTATTTACAAATATATGGGCAGAATGACGGTATCATTAATGCTGAAAAATGTTTAAAATCTTAAAGAATGCTTTACCAGTAAGTTATCAGAGAGATGGCATGTAGAGCCTTGTGAGAGCTCTTCTTACTCTAACAGTTTTGAGAAAGCTCACTAGGATGCTGAACCATGCTAGCTGGACTAGTTTTCTATCAGTTCCCATTAGTGCTCTCGGTTAAAAGAACAGACTTAAAAAAAAAAAAAAAAAAAGGATCAACTATAAAGGAAAAAAAATCTGGTTCATAACAAAAAGTATAGATTTTTTTAAAACTCACTCCATACTGAATGATTGAAAAAGACAAAATGAAAAGGTCTGAAATTATAATTTCTTAAGGGCCATGGAGATGTAAGCTAGGAAGCCAAAGCTCTGTTGTCATAGAAACATAGTAATCATCTGATTGACTTCTCCAGAACTAATGCACCTCTTCAAAACAACTTCAAGAAAAAGAGAGGCAGAAATGCAAAGACTTTGTAAGAAACTCTCTTACAAGAATCCAAAGTACTGACTACATAAACCCTAAGCAGCTGTCACATCAACTTCTGGGTTTCTCGTGAAACACATGACAGTAAAAGCTTCCGATCAGATTGTTAATTATACACAGAATCAGTAAATTATCAATAAATTATTGAAATTCATGATAATAAATAAATCCTCAGCTTACCCGCCTATGAATATCTGTGGTTTATTTGAATCGCTTGTGACCCCAAAGATGTCAGGAATCAAGTCACCATTGAAGCTGAAAATACAAAACAATTTCAATGGAACCTTATAAATTATAGGAATCAAAAATGAACATCTTTAACTCATCTTTCTTTTTTTTTTTTTAGAACAATTAATGTTATCTCTACTCATAAACCCTTCTCCTCTTAAAATATGATAAAAGACAGTAAAGAGTATTTCAGATTTTAATGTTAAACTATATTCAAGATGCTCTCAGTCATCGTTACAAACATTTTTCTCTAAAGAGATAGAATATACTTACTCCATTATTAGAGGCTCATCATAAAAAGTCTTATTTAACACTTTCTTATGGTTAAAATCTGAAAACAGAAAACATTCATTTGATTAAACTACCAATATTTTATGACATTTGCATACTTAGCTTAAATATAAATCTTATATTAATTTACAACTATTAATTTGAAGATTGCAAATCAACAACCATTGAGTATAAACAATTAAATGACTTCCTGCAGTGCCGTGCAAATTTAAGCTATTAATGGGAGAAGTGAGTCACAGTTCAAACTCTGAAGCTTCTTCAATCTTCAATACCTAAGACTAAAATAAATCATTCCAAACTGATCTTAATGACAAGTATTTCCATGTACGGTTGCAGTCACAAAGACATATTACAAGAAGCAGGAACTACTTGGGATGAAGAATATTTCTGTAATATTGTACATGAAACTTCTGTCACTGTAAAAAAATATTTCTAACCATATACACTGTGGGCTCAAAATAAACCTTAGAGATAGCCTAAAAAGGAAATGAAAATTTTAAATTGCAATCACATAATCTCCTCTTGGACTTCACTTTTACTTGTGGCGCCAATTCCTTGCCATATCATCCCAACTTCCTTTATCTCTTACATACAAGTTTGTCTTCCTTCCAGCTGCCACATTTGTATATCAGTGCCTTCCTCTCAATTTCACTGGCTGCACTTTCATCATCCAATCAAGCACCACATAACTTTGCATTAACATCAACACTACGTACCAACATTTTCTGCATTTTTAGGCTTTTTTTCTAAGTCCAAAAATACTTCATATATTAATTTGTGCCTCTCATTCCTTTATTCAGAAGCAAGAGTGTAATTTTACCCAAATCCTTCATACATTTTTTCCAATACCATAGCTATTGTGTTTAAAACTTGATTCAATGCATTTCCTAGGCTGCTTGTTTCACATCTGAATAAAAGCCAAGTAATGGTATCTAAGGCTATTTATTACTTGCCTTACCTATAACTATTTTATACCATTTTTGGTTATAAAAATAAATATAAATATATATATGGTGATTATATATGATTTTTTATATATATATATACACACACACATACACACACACACAGAAATAAAGGATCACCCCAGTCAAATGAGTTATAACTTTTTGAAAATACCTTTTAATAAAGTCTAGTAATCTTATTTTATAAGCATTCTCAAAAACTTACCTAAGGTTTGGTTGTGCCCCCAGAAAATAAACACTGAAAGTTCATCTTTGCCATGATTTTGAGTTCGGGTAGTCAGGAGGACATCCATTTGTGAATCACCATCATAATCTCCAGGAACCACACTGGTTATTATCATGCTTGGAGGTCTAAAATTAAAACATTGCAAATAATCACACAAACATGTGAGTGAAAAATGAAAGGGTTTGTGTTTTCAGAGGCTTGTCTTCTCTTCCCAATCATTATCAGTTGACATAAAACAGCATTTATGCAACAGCATACCCTGTAATGGTTAAACTATACCTACCACGTGTATGCGCACACAGCTTTTTACATAAATTTAAAATCTTTTAGATTTTAACTATATTTATTCAATTAATTTTAAAATCTCCTTTAAACATTTAAACTTTAGAAAGGTACCACTCTCTACTTAGGAATGTTAGAATGCCATTTCCATATCTATTTCTGTTATTGGCTGTACTCCAGCAGTAACTAGAGAAACTACAAAAATTTCCCTGAAAAATACATCTCAGAACTGAGACGAGTACAACCTTATAGGAAGATTTATCCTATGATACAGGTATCAGGTGGCTTTACTAATAAATAAAGTTTTCAAACTAAAGTCAGCTGCATGGCCACTAGTTAATTACATGAATGATGAAACTCCTTTCCACAAATTCTCTCTTATGACTCAGAAATCTAAACAAAGCAAGACAAAAGGTATTGGTCAATGAATCAAGAAACTTGAAAAGCAGCTGAATTCCATAACTGGACAGGCAAAAACAACAGAAACAGGTCTTCTGGTCATGTTCCCACAGTGGCAAAGATGCACTTCCAACAAAAATTATGGCATTGCTTTATCAGTGAATACTTACTTCATTGATAACCTAACTCTGGGCTTGAAGTATGGTTCCTTTTGGTCTGCCAAAAATATAAGTAACTCATTTCCTGAAAAAGCAAGTAAGACTTAATGAATAACCCTTAAAGGTTAAGATCATACATGAGTTATATATGAAAACAATATATAACAAGCTACTATGCGAATAGTCACTTCTCACAACAGCAAAAACCTTCAAAGAATTTCCACACAACCAGTTCTTCCTCCTTTAGAAGGAAACAGGAGGAGTGCTTCTTCACAACAAGACTATAAATACATCACAAAGACATTCTAATGTCAAGATGCTTCTTTGGGGCTTGGTGTTAAAATTTCCTATTGTTATCTCACCCCATTGTTAAGATAAAAAAAATTGATAATGAATTAGAAAATATTACTAATGTAAAGCAGCAGGTTATCAGTTCTATACAAATAACCAAAGCTTAAAGGCTCCAAGTCTTATAACACTGACTCAGTCATAGAAGGAACCTAATAACTGCATTCCCAGGTCTCCTGACAGGAGCACCTTAAGTGAAGCTCTCAGCAGTAATCCACTTCCCTGTAGTATTTCCTCATTTACACACCATGATATAGACTAGTTTCATGTAATTATTTCAGGAAGATCTGTATAAAAGGCTCGTATTTTCTGTTACACAGTGAGTTGAATTTCAAGGTACAAAAATATTCATAAACTGAACTTTAGAGTATATTTTCATTCAGGAAAGTATTTTCATTCATGCAATTTATTTATACAGTTACGAGTACAAACTGAAAGACAAGGTCTTTAGTCTATTTCACAACCATAAAGTTAACTTTAAAGTTAACTCTTGCCCTATGTAAAACTGTATTTCAGTGCAAATTTTGAACATTTCTCTTTTGGATGCAAGAATCCTCTCAGGAATAAAACCAATGACAATTTTTAATTTTTAAATAATTTTATTATTCAGCACTCTCACCATCAGCAATGCTGCAAACAAGGGCTCAGATACAAACATTAAACATCATAATAAAAAATGAAAATGAAACATCATAAGAAGAAAAAACAAGGACAACAGGCTAAAAATTTCCAGGGAAAAAAAAAAAAGAAAAGGCGCCTGCTCCGGGGGACACAACTGTCCCAGAGGAAGCCGAGGTTTTCCCAGCGCCCACCGCAGGAAGGCCCTGCCAGCCGGCGCTCGCAGCCAGGGGGGCCGCTGGCGGGCGGCCGCTGGCCCGCGGAAGGGCCGGGGCTGCCGCCGACGCGCGGGGCTCGCGGCCGGGCCCGCACTCACCGCCTCGCAGCACGAACAGGTCCGTCTGCTTGTCCGAGTTGAAGTCCCCGAAGGCCGCGAGCGTGCCATGGGCCTCGGCCCCGAAGAGCTGCGCGGTGACATTCTGCAGGGCCGCGGCCGCCCTCAGCACGGCCAGGAGGAGGCAGAGGCCGCGCGCGCAGCGGCGCCCCATCCTGCTGCGGCCCCGGCCCGGCCCGGCCCCGCGCCGCGGCCACCCCCACCGCTTTACGACAGCGCCGTGACAGGCTGCGCGGCGGCGTTTGCGGCCGGCTCGGGTAACGAAGGGGGAGGGGGCCCAGGCTGCCCGGCTCGGCTCGGAGTGCAGCGCAGCGGCAGCCGCAGCTCCTCCGAGGATGGCGGCGGCGGCAGCGGCCGCGGGAGCGGCCCATATGGCCGACGTGAGCTGGAAGATGATGGAGCTGCGGGCCCGCTGCAAGCGTTCAGGTCTGACCTCTCGGCTTGGCTGCGGGGGGTCCCGGCGGGTCTCTCTCCTTCTCTCTGCGCCTCTGCCCCGCTAACCGTCCCCGCTCCCCCTTCTCCCTCCTCGGTGGCCTCCCGGCGCCGTCCGCGCTCCTTCCCTCCCTTCCTCCGCGCAGCTTCGCGTGTCACTCACCGGCCGCCGCTCGCGTCCCGCTCGCCGCGCACCTGTTGCCGGCGCGAGGCGGGCGCCGTTGGGCGCTCCCCAACCGCCGCTTCTGGCGCGAGCCGTTGGGCGCTCCCCAACCGCCGCTTCAGGCGTGAGGCGGGAGCCGTTGGGCGCTCCCCAACCGCTGCCGGCTACAGGGTACGTGGCTGCCCGTGTTATAGAACTCTTGAGCAGACCAAATATTTTGAAATTGGCGGCATCTTTACCAGTTACACAAACTTGTTATGTTACCTGTTACACAAAGGTACCAGTACTTGCATAGACTTCATTGGATCATCCTTTCTTAATATATATATATATATATTTTTATAGCTTTTTGATTTTTTAAGTCCGTTTTTAGAATCCTTGGCGGCTAGGCTCTGGCCTCAGAGGAGAGGATGTTGTTTGCTCACTTGTGCTCCCAGGTTAAAGAACCCGTGACTTTTGTTTTATCTTTTTATAGCATCTAATACCAATAGGGCTTTTGTTGCTAGCATTCTAACGGGAACTGTTTTCCAAGTGATCCCCGTGGTGTTTTCTTGTCCTGTATCCTCACAAGCTCAGTTGTAATTTCCTTTTTTGAGTATTTTGTTGGTCCTGTTGCAGTGATGACTGGTCAGAGGGCCTGGAATGTGGAAGTAGAGGAAGATACTATAGATCTGCAGGTGGAGGCTTTTGTGGTGAAAGATAAATAGTGGTTGATAGGTGACTGATGTGTATGATTTGAAAAGTTCCTCTGTGCACAACACCGCTTGGTGAAATGGCATTGTGAGGGCTATTCAATACATGGATAATCACGTTGAGGCCCATTTTGGTTATACCATACTGTTCTCTGAAAACTAATGTATCAAGGTATCGCCAGAGCTCTGCAAGATAAGGAGTTAGGCATTGGCACACGTTATGAGTATGTGAGTTCGGAATCAAAAGACTTTCTTGTAGAACCAGGTCTGTGACTGTAAGAAGGTGGTGTTCAGATGATTTTAAATAATTTGACTTTTTCTTAGCTACTGCAGCCTTGTGTCTCTTTGTTAAATGCAGAAGAAAATTCTTTCTATGGTAGTATTAGGTCATTGTAGTTCACTTTAGTAGTAGCAGTTAATTTCCTTGCTCATGTACTGTCAAAAGTAGCCGGGGTAGTGTCACTGAAAGTGATTGAAGCCCCTACATACTGTTCAGATTGGCAGAGTTCTTTGCTCAGGAATCCCATTTTACTGTTGATTAAGCACGGAACCTATACTTGTACTCATGTGTGAAATGCATTAGCGATTCTTGTTGTACAATATATGGTAAAGTATCATTTAAGACCCTATCTTGTAGATTGTAACGTGTATCATGATGTCTATATATATTAAAATATGAATTATATATGAAAACAGAATACTTTCTGCTAGTAAAACCAAGTTTTATTGATTTTTTTTCCCCCATGTTTCATTTGTTGTTTCTGTGATAATTGTAATTGGGAGCAGATTATAAGAATTTTCAATAGTTGGCCAACTTGCAGGTCCTGAAATTTTGGCTTTTTTGACAGGCAAACATTTCTGTATAGTTTTGAAGTAGGTTCTTGAAGTAGCTATGAAGAGTATTTTCTGATTGTTACATTACAAACTGGAAGATGTTCTACCTCCAGTAACAGAGGTACTCAGTACCATAATCAATGCATATTAATGCAAAAGAACTTGATGTAAATCATCTATGAGGTAAAACAACACTGTGCATAAGTAGAATTTTAGCTTCTCGTTTTACTGTTTCTTAACACTTGTATATGTATTTATTATATAATATTTTTATTTAAGTAGAATATATCAAATAGATCTCATTCTGCATTCTTTCAGTAGAAAATATCTGGAATTACATGCCTTTGTAATGTCCAAATCATGGACTTTGGCTAGAATATGTCATTTTACTTGGATAAGATTTAGTAATACAATGAAACTTTACCATTCTTCCTGCTGTGCACTGCCTTATGTTAATAACTCCACTAACATTGCTTTCACTTAATTTAATGCTGATTGCCTTTAACATTTACTAAATGGTTTTGAAAATTGCTGTAGTTTAGCCTGAGCCGTTTGTGATTAGCTGCACCAATTTGAAATGGCCAATTTGGATGATGACAGAACCTTCTCTGCGCATGCCTTTTTGAGATATGGTAAGTGTATAGTTTTGTGTTTTGTGTTTGTGGCTATTTTATTCTTTAAAAATAATTGTTGTGTTCTGTGTTTCATGTGGTGTTTTAGTTTTGTGCTAACTGTTTTGAGAACTGTACAGCAGAATTTAAATAAATATATGAACTCAGAGAGTGAAAATCTTCTAAAATTGAAATGTCTGAACTGAAATTTCTTCTTTAAGATAATGGTCACGTGAAAGGTGCCCTAAGACTAATGTTAAATTTAATCCCTAGAATAAAACTTAACATGACTATAATAAAGAAAAAAGTAACCCTTCCAACAGGTCCTAAAGCTTGTCCTTTGGAAATTAAGTCAACGCAAAATAAAGCCTTCTCCCTGCTGCTGCTGACACAGCTTATATATTTATATATATATATATATAAAAAATATACACACATATATACATATATACATTATATATATATGTATGTATATATGTATGTATAAAATGTAACAGACTACAGCTATGATATTATATAGCACAAGCTGAAGTATTATCAAGAAGTTATCAAGACAATTACTGTTCTAGCTTAGCTCCAAGTACTCTGAAAAGAGATTGACTGCAAAAACTCTCCTTATATGATGCTAATCTGAGAGAAGTCTCTGTAGCACTTGCATAGTGTGTGCTGAAGTACATAAGCAGTATAAATTTTAGTGATAGTTACCAGATAAGATGATTTCATTTGCAACTGTAAGGTCACTTGAACTACTTTCCTGGGCCTGTGACATTTCTGTCTTTCTCTCCGGTGTCAAAGGACCTGTAGTGTGTTGACATTATAATGAAAAATTGTTCTCATTATTATGTTGGTGCTTGATACTTGTTTTCTTGATAATGATGCAAAATAAACAGTTTTAGTAGTGAAGTGCTATTGGCTTGAGTTTTCAGGTGGACAAATGACAACATAGAATACTGATTGCCTGGAATATCTTGGCTTGAATGATTTCCTGCTTTGCTTGTAGCAAGGCTATATGTACTAGGCTACACTCTACTGTGGTAGAGACATTTTGGTGTATTTTGCTTATGTGCTGGTGTAACAATATCTTATTTACACTGTTCAGATTTAATTCAGGTGTATTGAAAACAGGTGTATTTCATGGCTAACAACTATTAGAATAAACTGTGCTGTGTCTAACAACCTGGCTGTTCAGTGCTTTGTTAAGTGTCACCCTAAGATAAGTTGTGAGAGGATTATGGAGGAAAAGGAGAAGTGATGTTGGGAGAATATGATCCAACTGTCTTGATTTGATTTCTTAAAGTGTGTGATGCAAATAAAGTCCTTTTTGGTCCCAGATTACTGCAGTGCAGAAGTAGTGCTTTAGCTGTTCCTTTTGTAAATTTTTGCTTGCCTATAGTAGTTTTGGGCAATGAAAATTACGGTGTTGTAAGAATCCAGACTCTTTCATGTCTCAAATTTTGGATTACATCCAGAAACTACTGCTGCATTAAAGGACTGTGATCAATTTGGATTCTCATGCTATACATCAAATCTAGAAAGATATCTGCTATTCTCAGCTTTCTTTTTTTGGTGTGCACTTATTTTAGTTATGTAAATGAACATTCACATTTATTTCTATTGCATATGAAATGTTGAAAATAAAATTCTGAAATCCTGAAAATTAGAATAATCAATGCATGGTGAAATGTGCACATCTCTATCCATAGATTATGTCCAGAATTCAATTCTGATGCCTATTTTTCTGTAATGTTTGCAGTGTCTGCCATCTTCAAGGCTCTGTTGGTGTTCAAAGGTTCTGAAAATCTGAATTTGTGAGCAAGTTTTCAAAATGCTGGGCATGATTTTTAAATAGAAATATATAGGGTAGTTCATAGTTTTCCTTCAGACAGCTCTCCTTGACTGCAACTGGAATAAAAAGTGGATGGGAAAGTTCTTTTTCAGGATGAAATCAGTATTCCCAATCTCCAAAACTGGTACATGTGGAAGCATTTGCATTGCTAATAGCTTGTCTCTGAGGACTGAGAATTCTTCTATATGTAGTTTTTAAGGAAGGAAAGTCTTCACTTTTGGTCAGTTTTATTGAATTTTGAGTTCACATCATCTTTCTGTTTCATCAGCAGTTTGGCTGTTTCAATTTATTTCAGCAGGTAGTTTCGAACAGCTAAACAAATGCAAATTGTAGATCCTCTTGCACTTTTTTTTTTTAATTCTGCTCAGTCTCCTTTCTGCCCAAAACTGAAATCTTAGTTGCTCTGAATGGAATAGAATCCAAAGATAATACTTTTTTGTTTATGATACCTTTATTTTGTTTCTCTGTTGGCTACAGAGGGTCGTAGATTGTCTGGTAAGTACCTTAAAACTGGATTTTATTTTGGAAACTTTGTATGTGTGTGTGTGTGTGTCTGAATACTCAGTGATC